TATTTCCCCTTTTCAGATTGCAGTTTTCCTGAGTTGCCCAGAGAGAGCCTTGGGCAGTGTAGATCTGAAATGAACAGCCTCTCATGACCTCCCACAAACCACAAAGTCTGTGAGAACTGATAATGGAGGTTTTGCAGATTTTGTAGCATGTGGGTCGCACCACGGGAAAACGCCTCTCCCCTTAACTGTTGGGAAAGCAAGCTGCGCGCCTGTCACTGAATATAGTAGGAAAACACGAAGGATGCAGGCCATCTCCAGCTTTCCATGGAAATCCTGAAGCCCAGTCACCAAGCTCTCAGGCCCTGGATTTGCAAGGAAAACCAGAGAGTCTATATCTGCATCTTCCTTTCTGGCCTTTCAACTTGTGCGGGAAACTTCAAAGGCTCAGAAAACAAAGCCAAAATGACAATACAGGTGCGGGGTCAAGAAGAAGGCTTGAAGCAGCCCTCCTGCGTTTGTCTGCACCCAGTTGGCACAGGCAATCCCAGACACTAGGAGAAGTGGGCCCTACACCCATTCAGACATTCAGAGTGTTTTCCAAGTGAGGAATGCGGATTATGCCAGGGGGTGTCCTGCTGTGTGGAGCGAGCACCCCCATGCTGCAGAAGTAGAGCTCGCTTAACTCCGTCCCGGCCCTGAGCTCTCTGCCATGAGTCCTCGAAAGGGGGCTTGGGGGTCACCAGAGCTGCAGAGAAAAAGGGCCCCGCCCAGCAAAGCTTCCGTCGGCACCTCCGGCGTTAAACGGAGTGGTGTGCCGCGAGTTTGGAAGGCGGAGGAAGGCAGTGGTCACATTCTGCAGAGGGGGGGGGGGGGAAGCACCAGTCCACTCGGCACACCCTCTGGGCTCCATGAAGACAGACGCTCGGAAGTGCCAGCAGTGCGGGTCCGTTGCCCTGCCGTTATTTTGCTCGAGGCAGAGCTGAGGAGCCCCCACCTCTTCAGGACTGCCCCTGGCAGGCTTCCCTGGCCAGAGGTGCGTAGGCTGTTCCCTCGTGGCCCCTTCCTTGCATCAGGGCATGCGAGAGGAAGCGGGGCGCTGGTGGGGCGCCGGTGTGGCCCGGGAGGAAACAGCGGGGCAGAAGCAGCTGCAGCTTCGCTTCACGCCCGGCGTTCTCGGCGGCCACGGGTGGCGCAGGGTTGGGCTCCCACGCCGATTCCTCCCTTCTGCTCCCTTGAAAATCGCCGTCAAACAGCTGGGCCCAGGCGGGGAGCGCTTCGCCATTTAAGTTGTTTCCCGCTCACTTCTGAAGCCCTCTTGATAAACATTTATAAACATTTGTAGTATTTTAAATTTCTACTCAATAATTGATGATGAGTTATTTTATATACTTTAAAGTGGATAATAATGCAAAATTCATAAGGAAGGGAAGCTGGGAATGGCAGGCGGATTTGGCAGGGTGGGGAAGCCGTGCCTGGCGCACCGTGCGAGCAGGAGGGTGATGGAAACATGAAAGCGGGAGGCGGCGGGGTGGGCTCCTCGCTGGCAAGATGAGAGCGGCACCCCCACCTGAGCGACAGGCTCCGTGTGCCAGTGACAGTCTGCCTCCCTGGCGGAGGGGCGGGAGGAGGGGGGCGCGAGCGGGGCTGTCGTGCGTGGCGCAGGCGAGGCTGTGAACACGCCGGGCGGGCGGGCGGGGGGGAAGAGGTGAGGCTGGAGCACCCAGAGCCCCGCGGGGTCCCCCCGGGCACCTGCTTCTGGCAGGCACACGCTGGGGGAAAATCCAGCGGCAGAGGCGAGGGAGAAGCAAGCAAAATGGCCCTCAGTCAAGCAGGGTGCGGTGGGCCGAGTGGGACCTTGTTTGGGCCTGGGGCCGGCTCAGCTTGGCACGCGGGCTGCAGCCCGCCATCGCCTGTCGGGGGCTCCGGCTGCGGTCCCGGGTGCCGGCACGGCCAGCGTCTCCCCCGTGCCCTTAGAGGCTTTGCTCAGACCCGGAAAGGCCGCCATGTCTGGGTTGATCATGGGACCGGCAGGTGGGCATTTGGTTGCCCACACCTGCGTGAAATAAGTTTGTGGCCAAGCAGCGATTTGAAAGCAGGCCGTCTGTCTCTGTCCCAGCAGCTCCTCAGCCACAAGGCTATTAAACTGGTTTATTTGTTTCCGTTTTCTCAAATTGAGCCACTCAGCCGTATTATTAAAATAACAATGCTGGCACACCTCAGAAGGATGGTGTTTGCTTGCTCGCTTGCTTGTTTTTATAAATTTGTATATTTCCATAGCAATGAATGCGTCCAAAATATCTGTGAACTTATATGCAGCTTCCTGGAAGAACTGCAAATGCTCGCCCAAGGTGGGACCAACATTTTCAATTTATTCACGTTATCTGTAATTAGGGCTGTTTCGTGAACTGGCCAGATTTGCTAAACGTGCCCAATTATTTAGGGTGGTTACAGCAAAGAAAGGTCAAAAGAATCCCTCCAAACTGGAAGACCGAGCACCGAAAAGGCAAGTGTGACTCCACATGAGCCCACTAGTGTGAAGTGACGCCCATCAAGCCAAAGACTCGCAGCTTTGCCTGCAAGGTGCCGAGATCTGCGCTACCGGTGACTGACCAAGAGACGTGGCCCTGGGCCGGCCCCCTTGATGAAGAGGCGGCCTCGCCATGCCACTGCTGTGCACAGCAGGCCTCCAGGTGAGGCAAAATTAGCAAGGGAACTGAAAACAAACCTGCCACGATCATATTCCCCTTACAAAAATCTGTGGTGTGAGCCCACTTCGAAGGCTGCGGACTGTTCTGCTCAGGGCACCTGAAAAATGTGGTAGAGTTGGAAAAATGCAGAAAATGGCAACTAAAATGGCCAAAGGGCTAGACCAACTCCCCATGTGGAACAGTCGCAACATCTGGGGGTGTTAACCAAGAAGAAGGTGAGTAAGGAGACGGCGCAGAGATACACGGAATTGTGCCTCATATACAGGAGTGGAGAGAAGGCGTTTCTCTCCTTCTTTCCTCACGTTTGAACCCAAGGTCAGCCATCATGTTGACTGGTGGGAGATTCAGGACTGATGAAAAGAAACCCTTCACAAAATAGCAAGGCTAAACTCTGGGATTCATGGCTACAAAAAGTGATAGCCACCGATTTGGGTGGCTTTGAAAGCTTGGGCAAATCTGTGAACAGGAGGGCTGTCAGTGGCCTGGTGCAGTTGGACATGCGGCGTGCCACTTCCTGTGCCAGGGCAATCTGCCGATGCACAGCAGCCGGTGGGGAACATGGGGAAATGATTCATGCCCCGCTCGCGGCTGGACACCATGTGAACCAACTGTCGGACCATGGACCCTCGTTCTGATCCAGGAGGGCCCTTCTTACACGCTAATTTTCTTATTCTTGGGCTTCAACAAAAGTGGACCAGATACACAAGTAAGTCTTAATTTGAAGTCAGTGACTATGTGCCACCCATTCAAATGCTGGAAACGTCACGCAGTCCCCAATCCACTGCATTCTAGGAGGGAAGGGACTCTCAGCTGTTGTAAGGAATATTAGTCTTTTAGCAGTCAAGAAGGCTCAGATGATCTTTTTATGCTGACCATTCATTACTTGCCATGAAGCAGGTACATAATTTAAGAGTGTGTATAGCAGTGAATATTAAAGACCTAGAGGGCAAACTTTACCCATACAGAAACATGGAAACAGAGAAAGTCAGAAGGAGTCTCCCGGGCCATCTAGTCTGACCCCCGGCTCCAGCCGGTTCCACTCATGACATGCCCACCATGTGGACGTCCAGCCTATCCTTGAACACCTGCACTGATGGGGCCTCAACTGCCTCCCATGGAAGCCCATTCCACACCCTCGGGGTCCTGAGTGTCAGGAAGTGCTTCCTGGCACCTAAATGGAACCTGGGTTCCCCAAGCTTTGCTCTGTTGGAGCGTGTCCTGCCTTCCTCTGCAGGGGAGAACAGGTCTCTACCCACCTCCGTGTGACACCCCCTCACAGACCTGCATGTCGCCAACAGATCCCCTCTGAGTCGCCTCCTCCCCGGGCTGAAGAGACCCAGTTCCCTCTGTCTCGCCTCATACGGCATCCCCTGCAAACCGGCCACCGGCCTTGTGGCCCTGCGCTGCACTGACTCCAACCTGGCTATATCCTTTCTGTAATGAGGGGCCCAAAACTGAGCACAATACTCCAGTTGCGGGTGCACCAGAGTCGTATAAAGTGGTAGTAATACCTCTCTCGATCTAGAAGCCACACTTCACCCAGACTGCCTCTGCCGAATCCCCATCTGTGCTGCATTCTATCTCCCTGCATCCTATCCCTTCCCTGACGTATAAAGCCACGCCCCCACCCCTCTTTCCCTTCCTGTCCTTTCTAAAAGGGTGATACCCTTCTATGTTCATGTTCCAGACTTGCCTTTCATCCCACCAAGTTTCTGTGATCCCCACCAGGTCAGACCCTCCCATTCCCAGGAGAGCTTCAAGCTCTTCCTGCTTGTTACCCTTGCTCCTAGCATTGGTGTACATGCACCTCAACTCCTTCCCACCACTTCCCTTCCTTGGAGTTCCCAGCCTCCTCCTTCCTCCCATCCTCCCTGATACCTGGCCCCTCTCTGTAGGAGTCCTGTCAGTCCCTGCAGAACCTCTAAAACCCTGCTCCCAGAGCCCTGATCCTCCCCCCACACTTGTCCAGTGCAGACACGTTTCTGGGGGGGCTAACCCCTCCCCCCAGCTCAGTTTAAACTCTTTGGGACAAAGCTCGCTGGAGCATCTCCAAAGGCCCTTTTCCCCATCCTCGTGAGGTGCAACCCGTCCCTTGCCAGAAGTCCATTGGCAAGAAAACGAGTGCCGTGGTCGAGGAACCTGAAGCATTCCTTCTGGCACCGCACCCCAAGCCAGTCATTCACCTTGGAGACCCTCCTGTCCCCACCTGGCTGAAATCCCTGGACCAGTAAGAAAATAATAATGATCTCCTCCCCAAAAGAAGCAGCTGCTCTACTGGACATTGTCAAAACATGTTTTAAATAAGGAATAGCTTCATTGCACCACCCACAATTAGTCAAATTAAGCCGTCCCTTGTTAAAAAGATATTGTGGTATTCAGGTGCCACTACCCCCAACAATCTTAGCTTAAGAATCAAAGATCGGAAGGCCAAGTCACCAGAGCAGTGAACCCCTGGATAAGTCAAATGAGACAACCTAGTTCAACATTCTTGCTTATATATCGCATTAGTTCACCAGCCCGAGGTTTCTGTGGGCACGGACCGCGGGTCACTCTGCCAGGCCGACCCCACTGAATGCCTTGAGCCATGACTGAGGCAACAGCGCCCTGGCAGGGGCCTGGCTGGGGCTGGAGGTGAGCGGATGCTGCAGTGGCCGGTGCCGCCATTCAGCCATGGCTGGCGGTCGGTAAACGGCGATGCTGGAGGGGCCAAGAACCTGGCAGCATTGGCCTGCTGGCTGCTCTCCTCAGCCTTTCACGTCTCTTTTGTGCCAGCGGGGAAACTCTGCAGAATAAAACAAATTGCGTCAGGAATTCTCACATTTCTGCAATTTTCCAAAATTTTGCACATTTCCTCAGCAGACCAAGATGTACGTATTTTGAGAAAGTGGCATATTTGGGGGATGTATGGGCATCTTTTAGAAGACATGTGCCTGTTTCTGCTTGGGATTGCAAAAGGAGCCTTTTCAAACAATCTGCAAACTGGAATGAGATTCTCATTCACTGGTAAATCATATTGGCTAGAAAATCACATGCCATCGCCAGCTGATCCGCAGTAAAAAAAAACCCAACCAAACCATCCTCTTATCGGCCCATATCCACCACAGAAAGCACCTGGGACCAGGTTTTAGACCTAGATTGCCCCATCAAGTCAATTTAGCTTGAGCAAACGAGGCAAAGCGCGATCGATATGATGTTCTGGACCGCACATCTTTGGCTGTGGGTTGAACCCCAGGCACGTTCGCTCTCTGACGCCCGCCACTCAGAGCGAGAAATCAGAGAGGATCCCAGAAATGCCCAAAGTGGAAGAGCCATTGCAGGCAGGAAAGACCAACATGCAATAGGATCTAGACCAGCCCTTATATCTTATTGATATAAGGCAAGATCCGGAAAACGGGTCCACTTGCTTTCATTGGAACTCGCCCCTTTTCGAGAGATCGCCTGTTCTGTGGCTTCTCCAGACCATCATGGCTCGCTGCACCATCCAGACACAACCCGCCACGGTGCAAAGGCCGGAACCGGAGCGCATCCTTGGCAGCTGCCATTTTGTGAGGCCGGCAGAGGCATCCAGCTCTGCAAGCCTCCGGCCCTTGGTGGAAAGGGCCCTTCCCAACATTTGCAAAGCAAATCTTTTCAACCTGGGGACATCAGAAGGAGATGCAGGGATTGTGGGAGTGCCCAGGAAGAGCGCGAAGGACGCCAACCAGCTGCAGAAGGAGGTTGGCTCCTGCCAGAATTGCATGCTCTCGGGACGCCTGGGCGCTCCCGTGACCTGCAGTCGGGCCCCAGCAGGGCCGCTGCTTCTGGGCATGATTCTCGATGGCCGGTCAGTTCAACCCGTGCATATGGCTTTAAGCCAGGCCTGTGTTCTTCCCCCAAGATTCTGCAGTTTAGTAGCTTTTCGGGCTTCGCTTGAGGTTTGCTGGCAGCGTGCGGAATCCCGGCTGCCTGCAAGGCAGAATTTATTTCCACCTTGCTTCCTAGCAGGATCCTGGCTGGTGGCTGGCGGCTGGCATGGTTGGGCTTTTCGTGCAGAGGATGCAGGGGGCCATGGCCCAGTTTTCACCACTGCGAGCCACTTACCACGCCAAGCCTCCGTCCAGTTCTGTGACGGGGACCAAACCCCGGGGCCCAGCACAGGCCTGCCTGTTTGGAAAGAGCGGTCTTTCTCCAGTTTTACGTTGAGGCAGTAGCCGAGGGGAAAGCCAAGCGGCCTCACCCGCGGGGATGACAGGTGCCTGTCCGGCAGCCCCGGCTCCGTGCGGGCTCCCTCCCTCGCAGCTCGTGACGCAGAGCCGGGCGCAAGGCAGGGGCTTGCAATCTTTCAGTCCCGAGGGCTGCGCTGGGCCTCCGCCGGGACACTCCCAGTGACACACGTGCTCCAGAGCACACACACGAGCACGCCAACACACGGATTTGCGAGCGCGGCCTCGGCGCCGGCCACAGCCGCCCCTTCGCCGCGGCCATTAGTTCTCCGGCTGCCGCAGCCTCGTTGCTCGACTGCCACCATCAGGGCGCTGGGAGAAGCCCACGGGAGGTTTCGGCCTGCGAGGGATGGGAGCGGGCGCGCCATGAATGCGAAGCAGGAGCGGCGACGTAGCAGCGCGAGGGAGGCGGGCGGGCGGGAGGGAGGCAGAAGATGCCAGCTGCCAGCGAGAAGAGATGGAGCCGTGAGGAAGCGCCGCGAAGGGGCGGGGGAGCAGCGCCGAGAAGCCATGTGTGTGAGGAAGATAAAGGAGGCGGGGGAGGAGAGGCAGATAGGGAGGCAGACGGGGGGGGGGGGGGGGGGGGGGGGGGGGGGGGGGGGGGGAGCATGGCGTGCCGAAAGGGAAGAGGAAGGAAAGCGCGAGGAGGAGCCGCTTAATGGGAAAGGCGGCGCTGCAGCGCCGGGGGCTGGCAGCGGAGCGCGGCCGCATCTGCGCGGCCGAGGCGGGAGGGGCGCGGCACGGGCTCCCGCTCGTCGGAGCAGGAATCTGCCCGGTTCGCGCCTCCCCGCGACGAGCACGATCGGTGGCTGAGCGCCACGCAGCCGTCAGCTCGCCGCGCGATGCGTGCAGTAACCGCAACGGCAAAAACGAGTTTGAGGAATGAACACGTTGGGGAAATGCACACAACTGCCTGTTTTCAGAAAAACACACACAAGCTCACGCTAAGCGATGGGAGAAAATGCATAATTTCCAAACTGTGCATAATTGATGCATACATTTGGGGAAATGCATACAAACATTTGCACAAATCTTTATGCAGATGAAAGGCAGAACTAAGCAGAGCTCACAATTGGAGAAGGACCTGAGCTGGGAAGGGCGTCAGGGCGGATCCTGGCGGCCTGCCGGTTCGCCTGCGCCCAGCAGGGACGCCGCGCGCCCAGGGCCAGGCCACCCGGCACGTGCCAGCCACGGCGCCACGACCCCTGTGGCAAGGACTGAGTGGCCCGGCCCAGAGGAGGCGGCCGCCCCCCCACCATGTCGCGGCCGTCAAGTGCCCACCTGCATTTGTGAACGAGCCTTCACGGTTCGCGCTCCAGAGGGGGAGCTGTGAGGGACCGAGCCAGAGGGGCCCGGGAGAGGCAGGCCCCACACTCAGCGCTGCAGGGGATGTGTGGAGGAAACCCGCGCCCCCCACGTGCATCTGCACAATGGCTTCCTGAGCTGCAGTGCCCCTTCCCGTTGCAGCAAGGGAGTGCCCTCTGCACACCCCTGGGCACCCCTGGGCACCACTTGCCTGCTTGTGAGATCCTGGAACTCACCAGCCGCATGGAGCAATCCCATCTGAAAGCACGAGCCAGGAGGGTGTGCAACGCATGAGCAACAGATCCATTCTTTCAGGGTCATTTTTGATGTTGCTCTTGTATTTTGAGGTCTTAGCTATCCCTCAAAGTATTGTGGCATCCACAAAGGTGAGAAGGACCCTTTCCACTTGTTCAAGGAAGACTAAGGCTGAGTTCACACGTGACATCAAGCAACCATTCAATCAGAACTGAATTGCTCAAGGCAATGGGGGCCACGTGTTTCGGGGGGGGGGGTGCCTCGGTTCCAGAAAGTCTGTTCCCACCCTTCCCCAGTCTTCATGGGGTACACATGGACATCACCACGGCAGCAGCGTGTCTTCCAGAATCCAGGATGACAACCCTTGTCGAGACAACCTCCAAGCGCTTCTGACAGCACGTGGTGGCAGTTTCTCACTCAGCAGCTTCTCAGGCTCGTGGTGGCAGCTGCCTCAGTCGCTCCTTCGGCCAGGCACCGGAGGTCACCGCTTCAGCTTTGGTCCGTGCACACGTCGGCCATTCAAGGAAGCGCCTCAGATGCCTACAGCCGCCTGTTCCAGCCGGAATGTGGAGTGAAGCGGCAGCCTGCGAGCACATAAACTATCTCGAGCTGCCTGCTGTGGTGAAGGCCCCCGTGGCACTCCAGGTGTCTTGCCCAGTCACCTGGGACAGGTGGCCAGGGACGATGCCGCAGTGGTGGTCTACATCCACAAGCATGGACATCTGGTCCACTCCACCGACACAGCTGGTTGCCTGAAACTGGGACTGGTGGGTCAACAGGTGAATCGCCGTGGCTGCCATTCACGTCGCCAGAACTGACAACATCCTAGTGGACGTGCTGAGCTGGAGTTGGGGAGTCGCAACAGCCATGAGCGGCGGACGGACTCTGAGACACTGAACGGAGTCTTCAAGACTGGGGACTCCACCCATAGCTCTCCTCGTCACCCAGGACCCTGCCCTTCGCAACAGCTTCCGCTCTCAGGCAGGAGAGATCAAGGGCTTCTTGGGAGATGCATCACCACGATGCTGGGCAGGAATCCATTTTCACCCTTTCCTCCATTTTCCCTGGTAACGAGCGTGTTGGCAAAGCTTCAACAGGATGCCATGGGTTGCGTCGTCATCTCCTTGGTTTGCTCAGATCCGACGGATGTCAGTCCAGCTCCCGTTGATACCAGACCTGACCTCTCAGGGTCAGGGGAGCATTCCCCACCCCAGCATCACTCCCCTCTGTCTGACGTGGGCACATGCTTGCATTTCTCCACGCTGCGCTGAAGGTCCCAGCGGAGGCAGCTTTGAAACCAGTGACGAGGAAGACTGGTGCCTTGAGGTGGAGCGCCTGCTGTCTCTTCTTCACACTCAACGCCTTGACCCACCTCAGCCCCAGGGCCACCTGGTGGCCTTGTCTGGGACTGAGGGAAGGGAGGGAACGCCTCCCCTTCCATTATACACGCTGGGGGAGCGATTCCTGACAGAGAGTTCTTAGCTACAACAGCTTCCCCAGCAACGGCTCCATGCATGGTCAGGGCCCATGTGTGTGACTGCACAGGTGGCCACTTACAGCTACAGGTAAGCAACCCGCCTTTCCTCTTGCTTCAGATACACCTGGAAAAAGCCTTCTTGTTCTTCGTATCCCTCACTACCCGAAGCTCATTCGGAGGCTTTGTTTCCTGTGCACGGTCTTTATCATTCTGGGCTGCCCACCGGTGTCCAGCACTGACTCGCTGACCCCCCTCCTATTCCTGATGCACCTCCTTCCTTTCAATGTAGAACGCTCTTCTTGCGCTCTTTGCGTAGCCACCCTGGCTTTTGTTGGTTCCGCTCTCCTTTCTCACTGGAATCGTTGTGAAGGTGTCCACAGGAACTCTGCCGACTGTTCTGCAGCAGCATACCAAGCCTCTGAGCCCTCTGCCGTGCTCCTCTCGCTGAGATCCGCTGTCCTGCAAGCGCAAGCGCGCACCGAGTATGCTCGCCTTCGCCTTCTGTGAGGCCTTGCCTTCCCGCCCCTTTCCCCAAAGGTCCTGCAGCCTGCTCAGGTCTTGCTCAGGTCGCCAACAGAGCGGTGGCTCATCCCCGTTTCCTCCGGGCTGCAGCTCAGAGGGATTCAGAGCCCGTCACAGACACGGGCGGTGAGGGCACAAGTTGTGGCTCGGCAGCGAGCCTTGTGGGGTGAGGCGGGGGCAGGTGACTACACGCCCACCCCGCACGCCAGCTGCCTCTTGCTTCCTGAGGATCGGCTCCGCAAGGGACCGTTTTGCACTGGTCCCTCCCAGCCACACGACGTGTCTTGCACTGCAGGCGAAATGCTCACGGGGTGTCACATGGAGGGGGGCAGAGACCTGTTCTCCCCTGCAAAGGAAGGCAGGACGCGCTCCAACGGGGCAAAGCTCAGGGAGCCCAGGATCAATTTGGATGCCAGGAAGCACTTCCTGGCAGTCGGGACCCCGAGGGTGTGGAATGGGCTTCCCCGGGAGGTGGTTGAGGCCCCACCAGTGAGGGGGGTGCTCAAAGATAGTCTGGATGTCCACATGGAGGGCATGTCGTGAGCAGAGCTGGCTGGAGCAGGGGGTCAGACTAGATGGCCCGGGAGACCCCTCCTGACTTGCGCTGTTTCTGTTTCTATGAAACAGCAAACAGCAAAAACTCAACAGGAACAAATGCAGGCTGTTGATTTGAAAATAAATTTATATATTGCTATTTAATTAATACATGAACATGCACAAGTATGGGATGTGGCAAATCTGTCTTGACAGAAGAACTTGTGGGAAGGATCTTGGCTTCCTGGTGATTGAGCAGCTGAATATAAGTCAGCAGCATGAAGTGGCCTCAAGCAGAACTGCTGTGATTTTAGGTGACGCCAGCAGAAATGTCCCCCAAGTCCTGGGAAGTGGTGGCAGAACTTTCTGCTGCCCCGGCCAGCCCCCTCTTGGGGGCCTGGGCCTCGTTCCAGGTATTGAGCATGGAGAAGATCCAAACGGACTGGTTCTGAGGACTGCAGCAGGCCGACCAGGGGAATGTAAGCCATGGGCGGGACTGTTTGGTCAGCAGAAGGAGAGCGGGCCGCAGCAGCCCTCGTCGGCGACCTCCACAAAGAAGGGTCAAACCCGTTGAGGGTGAGCAGAGGAGAGGCCCTGCATGGCAGGGCTGTTGGTGATGGCGCCGTTGCCCAGCGGAGTGGGGCTCCCGTTCCTGATGCCTCCCAGAGGAGGCTGAGTGGGCAAGCGCCAGCTCTCGGTTTCCACCCCGAGCAGGGGCTGAGCGACGCGCGTGTGTGTATAACATTAAGCCTCCTCAGCTCCCCCGCTCGCTCTTCCTCAGTCCACCGCCTTCCTCCAGGGATGGCAGGGACCACCGCAGATCCTTCCTCCAGCTCAGGAGGAGCCGGTGCTGGTGAGAAATGACTCCTCCCTCCGTGCCACCCGACCCATGCGTCTGTTTGTTCTCTGAGGCCTGTCCGTGGCTCTCCCCACCCAAAAGGGCCTGCAGAGTGGCTTCCACACAACCTGCTAAACAAGACTGGCCCGGCAGGCCTGCAGCTGCACAAGCGAAAGGAGCGGCGCGCCCTGGAGAGAGCTCTGGGAGAAGGCAGGAGCAGAGTCTTCCTGCGGAAAGGGCCAGTGGTGCAAAGAGAGCTGGCTGGCTCGGAGTGCATGGCCTGGCCTGGCTCCATCACCTGGCATGGTGCCCATTGCACGCCCCTCCAGCCCCCCCCCCCCCGTGTAAGAGCACGGCTCTGCCAGGCAGTGCTCAGGGGACGCAGCTCCCAGCGGAGCCTGCACCAGCGGGAGGGACCGCCATTGCTCCCGGCTGCAGGCACGCCAGGCGCGGAGCTGGTGCCTCGTCATG